GGGGGGGGGGGGGGGTTATGAAGATAGAAATTGGATGTTTATTGTAGCTAGATTCCATCTTTGCGATTTGGCCAGCGTTATTTTGGACTTCTTACAAGCTAAGTTGTTAGATGGGTATAGTTTCTTTTGGAAATTGAAATCCCAATGTAGAGTTACCCATGTAAATGGCTTCTGCATGGCAACCGCCTACCTTTCTAATTTTCCCTGTTTAAAGGGACATATGTTTTGTATGGAGGTAATGGTAATGGTTATTTCATTGCATTGATACTGTTTGGTTAATAGCGGGGGACCACAAGGTTGTGAGTGCAAATCTCTCTAGGTTCTTGATGCCACTCTCCTCACCCTGAACATATAATTTACTTCTGATTTCTGAATAAAAATTCAAACCTGGTGTTCTTCAAATTCAAATTTGACGTGAACTTTCTAGTTATTTATCCAAAAAATCGTTCTTGTCAATTTTTATATTAAAATGAACTCATCTGGCCTTAACTCAAATGTGGATGATATCTTTTGGATGGATGAGTATTCTTTTCTATAGGTCCATTGCTTTCAGATAAGCGAATGTAGCTATCTTTTTTCTTTAATCAATGCTGCTAGTAAGAGGATAAGAAATTTGTTCCTGTTTTGTTTTGGGTAAGCCACTTATCGTTGCTGTTCATGTTAAATCACTATTTTTGGTTGAATTTAGGTTACCGTTCTATGGTTCTTGTAGAATGTGCACGTTGTTCATCTTTCATCTTCAATTATGATCAAATTGTAATTCTTGCTTGCTATTCAGTATCAGTCTGCATGATGTTTAATTGGTTCTTCTTCTGGGCATCATTTCAGTGATAAAAATTGCCAAACATGTTACCTCCACGTCAGCAACCAAGGTCTGGAGTACTCCACACATCTTTATCCCTTGTTCCAGCAGATGCTTGTGGGTCTCCTAATGTTCAAGAACGTGGCTCGAATTCTGATCAGGTCCGAGATTCGCCCACAGAAAGTGCTAGTTCACGTGAAACCTGGCCAACAGCTGATGCTTTGACGCTATCCAAGCAGCTGGAGAGGGAGAAGGCAAAGGAACGCGACAACGGTTCTGCTGAGCATTCTGTCATCCGCCATATATCAAGCTCTGATAAAATGTCCCTCAGAGACATATCTAGGGAGAGAGTGGATGTAATTGCAGAAAGAATGCACCATCTCCCTGATGAGTTTTTAGATAAGTTAAAAAATGAACTTCGAGGTCTTATTGAAGGAATGGGTGGTCAGCAGCATAGGGAGGAATACATTTTTCTTCAGAAGATGGTTCTGAGTAGGGGCGACTTGACAGAAAAAACACTCATCTTGGCACATCGCGGACAGCTAGAAATATTAGTTGCTATCAAGACTGGAATTCAAGCATTTCTACATCCAACCGTTAGTCTATCTCAAGCTTCTCTCATTGAGATCTTTTTGTACAGGAGGTGCAGAAACATAGCATGTGGAAACCAAATTCCAGCTGACAATTGTTCTTGTGAGATTTGCTCTAAGAGGAATGGTTTCTGTAACCTCTGCATGTGTGTGATATGCAGCAAGTTCGATTTTGAAGTGAATACGTGCCGATGGATTGGTTGTGATGTGTGTTCTCACTGGACACATACAGATTGTGCAATACACAATGCACAGATCGGCATGGGGCCTGTTGCAAATGGAGGAAGCTCAGGAGAGATGCTTTTCAGGTGTCGAGCCTGCATGAGGACATCAGAACTATTTGGGTGGGTCAAAGATGTTTTCCATCACTGTGCGCCATTGTGGGATCGGGAAGCTCTGGTTAGAGAACTCGAATATGTGAGTAGAATTTTCCGTGGAAGTGAGGAACCTAGAGGGAGGAAACTCTACTGGAAATGTGGAGAACTTGTAGAGAAATTGAAAAGTGGGATAGCTGAACCTGTGGCTTCCAAAGCAATACTGTCATTTTTTCAAGGTAAGCAATATCCTTATGTAGCATTATTGTACTAGGGCGCTTGTTGCCTAAATTTAGCATATTTATCTCTCTACTTTTTTTGTATTTGTATTGCTATTGCTATTGCTTACTCATATCTAACTTTTAAATGTTTAGTGTATCTGCACCTTTCTCTTATTTTGCACTAGCCAATGGTCTTCATGGAAACAGCCGCTCTACTTTTTAGGGTAGAGGTCAGGTTTGTGTACATCTACCCCCCTAAGACCCCACCTCTGGGTGGGATTTACTGGGTTCGTTTGGTTTGGTTATTTTTGCATTTTGTGAATGGTTTGATGCAGTTAATGATTTAATAATTGCATTTTATGGAGATTTTTCAGTTCAGTGTAGTTCTTTTGTAGCTTTTTGGATTTAGAACTCGCTGGGTAGTTAATGATGTCAGGCTGCCTACATTTTCTCTTTTGTTCCACATGTTCCCCAGAAGATAAAATAACAGATTCTTTTTGTATTCTTTTACACGTTCAACAAACTGAACTGGCTTTTCTTAATTTAGACAGCATATTGAGAGTCATTCAATCACAGGAAATAAGTTCTCAAGCCAGAAGCTAGGGTCAATCAATCGAGTAGAAATCCTCATTTTTTGAACATCATTTGAACTGTATAGCTTCACTAACCATGCATTATACCATCTGTTATGTGAGCTTTAATCCAATATCATTAGCCCATCAAATTTAGGCGATGTAAGAAAATGTCTCCATACATATGGATGATCTTAAAGCCACACTGTTTATGATTTATTTGATATTGATGGGATTCTGTCTTAGAAAATGCCAGCTTGATGTTAATCACTAGCTTAGATGATCATCTGATTGTGAGTATAATGAAATTCTCATCTTGTAGAGAAACATTTGGAGTGTTTGAGATGTTCTTTGTTATTTTGTAGGTCGTTTGAGTCTTGGAAGATTCATCCATCAAGTATTTCTATGTGTGCAATATATTAGGTCTAAGTCTTTTTAGCATGGGATTTCCAGAGTTCATTTGCTACAATCCAATTTTGTTTGAACCTCAAAGAAAGGCAAGATGAAACGATGTCTTAAATTGTATATGTTATTTCTACAATCCTGCTACGGATCAGCTTTAGCTCTGCTAGGCTTATTATTAATACATAGATGCATGCAGACCCAAAGTAGTTGAATTTATTGTTTATATTAGCCTCTTTGGGGTAGAGGTCAGGTTTGCATACATCTTACCCTCCCTAGACCCCACCTCCGGTAGTCCGGTTGGGATTTACTGGGATCGTTTGGTTTGTTTTGTTTTTTTGGGGTTAGATGGGAGGTCTGCCTACCTCTTACCTTCCCAGATCCCACCTCCTGGTGGATTTATAGGGCTCGTTTGGTTTGGTCTTTTTTTTTGGTAGAGGTCAGGTATGTGTACATTTAATCCTATCCAGACCCCACTTCTGGGTGGGATTTAGTGGGCTCGTTGGTTTGGTTTTTTTGGGGTAGAGGTCAGGTCTGCTTACATCTCTTTGGGTGGGATGTCCTTGGTTGATTTGGTTTATTGTTAATATTTAGCCATTTAAGCACTTTATGTTAATCTATCAAAGCTACCAGGACTGTTGATCTTCTCGTGCGAATTTTTGCAGAGTTCGACATGGACCCCACAAAGCATCAAGAAAATGGGGATGGTCGATTGATGGCCCCACAAGAAGCTTTCAACCGAATCGCAGATGTAGTGCAAGAAGCAATCAAGAAGATGGAAATGGTGGAAGAGGAGAAGGTTCGTATCACCAAGAAAGCACGCCTAGCCCTTGAGGCTTGTGATCAAGAACTTAAAGACAAAGCTCGGGAAGTAGCAGCCCTGAAAATAGAAAGACAGAAGAAAAAACAGCAAGTAGATGAACTGGAAAGCATCGTGAGGCTTAAACAAGCCGAAGCTGAGATGTTCGACCTGAAAGCCAGTGAAGCTAGACGAGAAGCGGAGCGGCTGCAACGGATCGCGCTTGCAAAAGCGGAGAAATCAGAGGAAGATTACGCAAGCAGGTATCTGAAACAACGATTACATGAAGCCGAAGCTGAAAAACATTATTTATTCGAGAAAATGAAGTTACAGGAGAGTTCATCAAGAGCATCACAGAGCAGTGTAGGTGGTAGCGAGCCTTCCCAGATGATGATGTATAATAAGATCCAGGATCTGCTGAAGAACATGTATACGGCACCGTCGAAAGGCGATGGCCCGTCTAGCGATATCCGATCACTGGGTTCGGTTTAAGTAGGATGTCTTTTTGGTGCACATTTTGGATTTTGTTTTCATGTGGTTGGTGGTTTATCACCTTAACTCCAGAACAGCAGTTGTAACTTTATACAGTTTATGGGTTGAAGTGTTGTGATTAATGAAGGGAAGATTTATAGAAAGTGCATAGGAATTCAATTCTTATTTAGTAAAACAACTAGTGGCTCATAGATTTTGGCTTTTTTGTAAAGTTTAAAGTATTTGATTTTGTGATTTAATTTATTAATCACTAGGCAGGCATTTTATTTAGATTTTTGTTAAAATAATTGATCATTCCAAGGGGAAAAAAAGAATTTTAAACTTATCATCATCATCATCATCATCATCTATATATTAGGTTGAAATTATCGATTATTTTAATTTATATAAACAAACTCTTGATTGCCAATTTGTTAGGGGTTTTTTACTTTTACTTTTATGAAAGCAATCCCCACTTCTTTTTAGCAATTGCAGGTTGGTTGTCTGTTTTTGAGAAAGGAACAGAGATAAAAGGGCTTTTGTGGAATAATAAGCACCGACCATATATGATCTAGGCATTCTAGTTGAGCGAATAAGCCACAATTAAACAACTTTTTATAATTGGACAAATAAGCTATGAGCCTTATCTTATGAAGAAAGAGTATTCCTGCCATCTCAGCTATTCAAGTGCTTCAAAAAACAAAAGAGCACCTAGTAAGAAAAAGCTTTACACCTATAAAGAAATCGAACCCATATGAAGATTTCCAACTCAATGGAAGAAATCGAGCCCAAATGAAGAAATATAACCCAGATCTGTGTGCACCATTGATGAACCTGGATCTTTTGTGTGTTGTGTGCACCATTGATGAACCTAGATCTTTTGTGTGTTGTGTGCGCCCATTCACATCACCTCTAACATATCCAAACTTATCAACAAAACGTTGACACCAACCATTAATGCATATAATATAAACCAGATCCATAGAAGTGAGAGATTTAAATGAAGTGGATATTTTCCTAATCAACGATTAAATAAGCTTTACCATCCTACTCTTATTCACTTTTGTTAGTTTCATGTTTATTACAAAATTGCCAATGGTTATTATAATCTATTGATTTCACAAATTAAAGACCCAGATTAGTTTGTATAGATAACACTAATTATCCGGTTAACAAATGAAGGGGATTATATATATATATATATATATATATAATTTATTTTAATATAATATCAATATAAATTAAAGTAAACTACAAATTTGGTCTCTATTGTTTACACAAAACTATATAACTTGTCCTTGTAAAGATAAAAAGATTAAAATACCCCCTAATTTAACGGGAAAAATTAACAGCTTTATATTAAGGGACCATTTTCAAAGCAAAATACAAACTACAGGGACTATTACTGTACTTATTAAAGTGTAGGGACGGTGCTCGTAGTTGGGTGTAAACTATAGGGACCAAAATTGTATTTTTATATTTTGAGACGGAGACCAAACCGTCAAAAGTTTTCTCCCACGCGCCATCACACCACACGGTATATATAGCCTAGCCTTCCATCGCCACCGACCACCGTATGCTTGTAGAATCCTTTTTATGATATTCTCCCGACGTAGCCAAAAGAACAACACTCAGGTTGAATTTCTGCGATCAAATTTACGCACAATTTTGACACCAATCGACTTGAAAATATGTCGGAGAAATTCTCGGCTACACTAAGGATCGGCGACCTTAATGATTTCATCGCACCGTCACAGGGCTGTGTTGTTTCTATGAAGTCCGGTTCTTCCAGGCTCGTTGATAAACCAAAGGTTTCTACTCTCTCTACTTTCTGAAACCTAGGTCTTTATGTTTTAGGTTGTGTTATCCTGGTTATATTCCATGTTAAGCAAGCTATTCAATTTTTGCGATGCTTATAAAGTAGTCGCGATTGTACCGTCTTGATCAGGGATTTGTTAGAACACTAGAATATTGAAAATTCTCTGATTTTAGTTTAACTTTTGAATGGAAAAGAGTAGCTTTGATATTCTTATTCTGAATTTAACCGCGCTTTTAACCCTAGTTCATTAGTTGCAGTACCATCTAGCAAATATTCTAGCTTTTTTGCTGGGTTTGATTTGCTTCAAGATCTTTTAGGAATGTAGTCTTCTGTGATTTTATCGAGAAGTTAGAAGGAATTAGTAGTCTTATATCTGTTATCCATGTGAAAAAAAAAGAGCTTTGTGGCATGCCAAAAGGCATAAATTTCATCTTCAAAATTGATTGGGATTTTAATTTTTTTTGAAAAGAGATTTCAGACTCCTTTAAGTTATATAACAAGTACTCCAAATAGAATGATGTTGATGTGTAATTTGTGACTTAATTGACATCAATTTTGCATTTGAAATGTTAAGGCTTGACATGAAATGGTGGGAGTGGTTGATTTTTGGGAAATCCTATTGATTTTAGGAATGTCTGCTGATGCTACAACACTGAAACTTTTCTATTTCAGCTAACTATTAGAACAGAAACATAGCATGTTCTCTTACACATATGACTTGATTTTCGTTTGATATTTCACAAACAAATTAGGTTTTCCACAGTTGTTTTCATATTGAAGTTTCCCTCTAGAAAGAGCTACGTCTTGTTTTTTAGATGCAAAGCCTGTACTTTTTAAATGAAAATTTGATATAGAATATGTTACAACTTGACACTGCCAAATTTCTATTTTTACATTGTTTAAAACTAGTTTTGTTGTGTGATTGAGATTCAGCTGTTTGTAGAAACCCTTGGACTATAGGAATGTTTAACGAGTGCATAATGCCCATTGTTCTTTGATTTCTGCTTCATTATGAACGGGAAAGTAACAATTTTTGTTGCACATACTATCATTATGAATGGGAAAGTAACAATTTTTAACCTTGCTGCTATGTCAATACAGTATTTTTTTTCAATGGGTAGTATTATGAAGGTTCTTTTCTCTTTGAAGTAAGAGATCATTTTGAACTATACATCTCATTGATTTTAAAGAAAGGAGTAAGACTCAGCCTTACGCAAGATCATCATTTTTTATTTACCAAGTGCTTTTTCTTGAACAGAAGCCGATGAAAGCTGCACCTGCTACAGAAACACTTCAGACAGATCCAGTAAAAATATCACTCAAGGATTGCTTAGCATGCAGGTAACACTTTCTGATCTGTGTCTTATAACTCCCACAATGGTTGTTAAGCAAATTTTTGGAGATGAATCTTGAAGGTTGTATAGGGAAGCTGTCATTTTCGTCGATAAAAGAGAGTGCATGTTAAAAAGTTGATGTTGATTTGTTGGCATGTTAAAAAGATGATCTTGATTTGTCGTATCTTTAAATGTGGGAACGTAGCTCTATACCTTTACATGTGCTTGTATTTTCACCAACTTTCGGCACAATTTTTATTTCTTACAGATCCTTTTCTCTTGTATATTTTCCTCTATACTTTTGCTGATAACTTTTGATAGAAAGTAATGAATTGAATCAATTATATTGCTGTAATCATGCAGTGGATGCATTACTTCTGCAGAGACTGTTATGCTAGAGAAGCAAAGCTTGGATGAGTTCCTTTCAAATATAAACAATGGAAAGACTGTTATTGTCTCTCTTTCACCCCAGTCTAGGGCTTCTATTGCTGTGCATTATGGTCTTTCTCCAGTTCAGGTAAATTGCATCACATTATGAATCGTGTTACAGTCCTGCTGGGCCACTTTCTTTATGAATAATTCTGCAATGAGATGATTTTTTAACTGAGGGCAAATTTCAGGGGGTATTTGTTTCTGTACAGGTCTATCTTCTTAATACTTCTCCCATTATGCCCTGTGAATGTTTTTCAAAAGGATGGTTGAATTTGTTCTTTTTCTAAATGAATTAGATGTAAATCCAATACCTCTTTTGAGTTGAAAGGCATCCATTGGATAATTCTGAATGGTACTCTCAGGTTTTCAGGAAACTTATCACACTTTTCAAGTCTTTGGGAGTTAAAGCTGTATTTGATACCAGCTGTAGTAGAGACTTGACTCTTATCGAATCTTGTAATGAATTCATATCACGATATAAGCAAAACCATTCAGATGAGAAGGAGGAATCTAGATCATTTCTACCCATGATATCGTCCGCATGTCCTGGTATGTGTACCTATCACAAATCTCCTATACTTACTGATCACCATGGAAAGCACTACAGTGACTATAGCTAGTTGGTTTCAGTTTTTGTTTTGTTGAAACTTGGTTATGGATTATAGTGTGGATAGAGGTGATTCAGTTCGTAATATGTTCATTGTTATATTTGCATGGTACATATAAAATGTGTTTTATCTATACTTTCAGGTTGGATATGCTATGCTGAAAAAACACTTGGTTCGTATGTCCTTCCATATATTTCCTCAGTGAAGAGCCCCCAACAATCCATTGGAGCTATTATCAAGCATCATCTATGCCAAAAATTAGGTCTTCGGTAAGCATATTTTCCTGTTATGCGTGATATAACACTTCTAATCTCAGATCCAGCATAATATTCTACTCTTACATAACACTTCTATTATCTTTGTATCCAAGATTGTGGCTGAATCTTTTGCAATGGCAATCACTATATATCTGTAAGAAGAATTTGCATTTTTTTAGGCATCAAGTCTTTTAGAAATAGTGCATTAGTGCTCAATGCTCTATTTAGACTTGAGTTACTTTACCTTTCTTAAGATCACTATCATTTTACATCCAAATGCTTTTGTCCTGTATATAAGTATGTTGGTTTTAAGATATATCCATCTCATCCTCTACTGCAAGGTAAAGGTTGCATAACAAAGACCAACCTCCCCCTCCCCCCCCCCTCTAACCAACCCCTTCTCCAAAAAAAAATGAGGACCCCTGGTAAACTTTCCTCGCCCATATAGTGGATGTCATTGTTTATCATTTTTCAATCCTGTTATCTTTGTTGTGTCTGGATCTTACAAAAACTACTAGTTAACTGTATGGTTTCTGGCATGTGTTATCTATGAATTTGGTGAATACAAGCAATTGGACAAATTATATTGTTTAGTATGCTTATTTGATCCTGTTTCATATTTCCATCAACTGTACAGACCAGCTGAGATTTATCATGTGACGGTGATGCCCTGTTATGACAAAAAGCTTGAGGCTTCCAGGGATGATTTTGTTTTCCGAGACCAATCTGATGAAGGATCTGGCTCTGACCAAATGACCACAGAGGTAGATTCTGTGTTGACAACTGGAGAGGTTTTAGATTTAATACAGGTGAGCCAAGAGTTTTACAAGTTCATAGTACTGTGGCACTTCTTTTATTATCCTTTAATCCCTTTGTCCATGAATATGAAAACATTTATTTTTGCACATATTTGTAAGTAAATATCTCTGAAATACCTTTCATAAAAACAAATGAATAAATCTTATGGACCCAGATGAATTCCATTAAGTTGTTTGTAATGATGATAATGGGCAAATAGGTTATTTTAAATTTGGTATCTTTTCAAATAAGTAAATGTTTTCCAATTTTCATGGGGGCATCTCAAAAAGGGAAGCGTCGGAAATTTTATGGGATGAATCAATGTTCAATAATTCTATTTTCTGTTGGTTGTGCAGTCAAAAGCAGTAGATTTCAGCAATTTGGAGGAGTCCCCTCTTGATAAATTGTAAGCAGAACAAAGAATAGCTTATTTGAATTACATTCTTCTCGAATTCTTTTGAAAAACATATCATTCATGTTACTATTTTGCAGATTATCCAATGTTAGTGAAGAGGGGCATCTTTTTGGGGTTAGGGGAAGCTCTGGAGGATATGCAGATACAATCTTCCGTTATGCTGCCAAGACACTTTTTGGTCAAGATATCAAAGGGCCTCTGGACTTCAAGACCATACGGAACTCTGATTTCCAGGAAGTGACTTTAGAAGTAAGTTGGCGTTCGAGGAGCTAGCTACTCGAAACTGTTCTTTTTCTAAGAAGTCTTTATATTTTAAGTTGCCAATTTGATAAATTAAAGTAATATTTTAAATGAGAAAATGAACTTGCAGGTAGAAGGTAAAACGGTATTGAAGTTTGCGCTATGTTATGGTTTCCGGAACTTGCAAAATGTAGTGAGGAAACTAAAAATTGGAAAATGTGACTACCATTACTTAGAGATCATGGCTTGCCCTTCAGGTATACTCTTCAGTACCAGTTTATTTGTTGTAGCTATTTCAAAATTCATACTAGATTTTGGGACATCTTAAGGCTTTATAGGTGCATTTGGTTTTGGTTTTTTGACTTATTTTCTTGGCGCCTTTGGAAAAGTGTAAATCAGATAGAGAGATGATGCTTGGCAACCATTTAGGTTATGTTAATTCAGGTGCATGGTACACATCGGTATTCCAGTGCATTTCGCCCTTTAAAAGAGTTTTGTAATCACTAGTTGTAAATCCTAAATTGATTTCCATTTTTTATGGTATACACAACTGGTTTATGAATAGATTTCCTATAAAAAATCCCGACTTTGTTTTCTTTTTTACACACACACATGTATATATCTTCTTACAAATGCACATAAACGGGTCAACTGCGAATAGAAAATGGCTGCAAATGTTAGCAAACTGAGTCTCATCATTACATCTCTTCCCTAACAGGCTGCTTAAATGGAGGTGGTCAACTGAAGCCAAAACCAGGACAATCCGGCAAAGATCTGATTCAAGCACTAGAAATTACATATATGGAAAAGGTAAGCATCTAATTTTATCCCCACCCCCCCTCCCCAACCCCAAGAAAAGGTGATTTGACGGTTTAGAAACCAAAAACATAACTATTCATCGGTTTTGGTGAGATTTGCAGTTTTTTGGTAGTCTAGGGGTAGAGGTCAAGTATGCATACATCATACTCCCAGACTCCACTGTTGGATAGGATATCCAGGGCTCATTTGTTTTGGTTAAAGCTTGATGGTTGTAACTTGTCAGGTTTTGGCTGCTGATCCGTTTGAAAACCTGGTGGTGAAGAGCTTATATGATGGGTGGCTTGAATATCCTGGTTCGGAGAAAGCTAAACAACACATACACACAGAATACCACCCGATCGTTAAAAGTATAACGTCTCAGTTGCATAACTGGTGACAGAACAATTAGTCTTTGGTTCTCGACACCAATCTCTGTAGTCATCTTTTTGAGCGTTGAACGTTTGAGGCTATGCAGACCGAGTTATTCAACGTCAAGTTTCGAAATTTTGGTAGGCCATAATTTTGTTGTGATTCTACAGAACATACTTGATATTAATGTAAGAGAAAGGTAATGTTTATGTATTTGGTACGATAGATATAATTGGTTTTATAGTATTCAGAAAAAAGAATGTATACACACACCTTGGCTTTCTATTCTTTTAATTGTGTGTTACTTTTCTTTTTGTGCTCTGAAGAGATGAATTTTAGATTAGAATATATGAATTACTAAAGAAACACCAGTTCAGTTCAATCTTATGGACAACAGAAAATGACGTGTGCTGTTGATTTTGCTCTTTGATTGCCATCTATAGAAAGCAACTCCTATTTTGTTTGTTATTAATTAATTTTAAGAACTTGATTACTTGGTTTTCTTCTACTTAATGCCTCAATTTTTATTATACGTGTAGACATCTACACAACCAACCAGACCGCGATTGAATATGATATACTCGAAAAGGAAACAACATATAATATAATATGCAAATACTATGAAATATGCTTTGAACTGATCCTCCCAATTATTAGGATTAATGCCATAACCATGCTTTGACATTCTAAACAAGATATGGAATTAATACTGAAAAAACACTAGCAACATGACCCTGACAGAAATTGAATGTTTGTAAATTTTTCAAGTATTTGGTTGCTGTCTGCTATCCACCAAATATTTTGATCATATGGAAACTATTTTGTTGTGATAACATCATTGAATTTGCATCAATAATTTGATACTTTATCATTCAGCATATTTATTTTAATCTATATAATAGTCAATTTTGACATTCATTCTCTCTATTCAGCAAAACAAACTACAAAGCTTAACCCAGACAAAGTTTTATGGAAAAGCAACCAAACAACCATTATTATTGCTAACACGAATTTGACAAAGTAATAACACATCACTTTCAACCTTGAGCGAGCAATGGATGGAAACAAAAAAGAGAGAAAAAAAATAAAAATAAAGAGTATGATTCATTCGACAACAATCATTTTAGCTTAAACACAACTACAAAAAAGGGCAGACGCCAACCCCTGGAGCACCCCCACCGAACCGGACACACGACCATAATGAGTGAGGTGAATAACAATGAGTTAGCAATAACTTGTGTTGCCCGGTTTGAACCCGGAACCCCCTTTACAGATGCCCACCATTCTACCACTGAGGCAACACATGGGGACTACAAAAAGACAACTAGAGACGTAGAAGTTAGTATTTCATGATCCAAACACTACGAATGTGAATTCCCGCGTGATTCCTCAATGCTCTGCAAATGAAATTGAAATTAGCCAAGATTTTCGCAAACATAGAAACCAACAATATATAGTTATAGAGGAGATCACAAACCAATCTTTTGTAGGACTTGCTTATATTTGCATGCTCATCCGGCTTCGCACGATCTAGGGCCTAAGGAACAATGCATACATTATTCACCGGACAAATTTACATACATATGTGATCATGTTCACCAAGAATCCGAGGTCTTGTGATGGTTGGGAATTTTTCACTTTCATGAGAACTAAAAGCACCCTTATTATGTGAATGTTATGTTATACTATGTGGAGATTGTAACATTCACATTAGTTTTAGGTGTGAAGTTTGTACAAAGGTCGTAACTAGTGGCAGATCCAGGACTTGGTGATTGGGGTCAAACTTTAATTAACATAATACAAAAATATGATGGAAGTTAAATAAGGGGTGTGGGATAAAAAGTTTCACATTTCTAGAGGGGTCGGACACATTTCTAGGAAATCTTTCACGATATAAAGGTACCTTCACTTGCTCACACGAAAAAAAGAAGTTGTTTACACCGAAACTCAAGCCTATTTGCAAATGAGCTATTTCTGTGACTCGGACCCATGACCTTCTATTCTAATAGAAAAGAGTAACCCACTTGATCAAAGGTTCTGCCCCTTTGCATATATTCATCAAAAAGTTCAACAATTATAAGATGGAGCAACTCAGTGTTACGGATATAACATTAAGGGCCGTTTACTAAACGTTTATTGGGTAAGCGCTTATAGGCAAGAGTCACTGCCATCCAGCCAAACTTTGCTCTTTGGTGAGAAGCGTGAGAAACGGTGAAGGTTACGTGATATTTTGTGAAGGTGGCAAAGGTTACACACCTGAATATGTATCTTCACCATTTTCTGTGAAGATGATCACCTCCACATGTCCTCGTGCAACATAGAGGTACCTTCACATACATTATGTGAAGGTGCCGTTATATTATGTGAAGGTTACATTTCTCACACTTCTCACAGAAAATGGCAATTCTTACGGGAATCCAGCCCTCTCTCTCTCTCTCTCTCTCTATATATATATATATATAGGTGGAGGTTCAAACGAGAACACCTCTAATTTATGAAAACACGAAAACACCCTTATCACATGTGATAATACATGTGAGAGGACCTGGTAGTGTGTGGACGACATGTCCTGCGACCTAGCTCGTGCCAAAGTTCGTCTACATCTATGATTTAGCATCACATGTGATGGATTATAGTATCACATCAAGAATACCCTTATCACACTTCACACGTGATAATACATATGAGGGGGCCTAGTGGTGTCTAGGAGACTTCCCGAAACCTAGGTTGTGCCAAAGGTCGTCCGCGTCTCTGATTTATTATCATATGTGTATAATATGTGATGGAACATAGTATCACATGTGATTGACCATAGTTAAGGGTGTTCTGACGTTCTCGTAAAATAAAGGTGCTCTCCTTTGAACCCTTCCCTATATAAATATGGTCGGATTCCAGTGAGAATGAAAGTCAAGGTGAGAAGGGTATGGAGGGATCAATATTAATGAGATGCACCAAGATGCACTATATTAATTCCCATGAAGAGCACAATTCATAGTGTGGGGGTTAGATTAAACGTAATCAAGGGTCTAGATCTCTTCTTACACTTCTCGTGGTAACTCCTATTCTCACATGATCCTTGATCTATATATATAATGCATAAACTTACAAGAGAATAAAATAAAGATAAACTACTAGGAAGAACTATATCCTAATAGCAAAGATAAACAAATGATAAAAACACAACATTGTAATGCATCTAACAATGAGAAAGGAAAAGGACAAACGTAAGAACGAATGATGAAGGAGAGCAAGTGTTTACCTGGATTAATGATTCTACTCGACGTCTCATCCGAGTATGCATGAAACCTTCAGAACACTGTTACCAAATGCAAAAGAAATATATGAAAAAAGGTCGGGATTTCTTTTTGGATAGTTGGGTTTGTTGGAGTCTTGAAGGACTGGGTGTCGTTCATTACCCAGAAAATGGTTGAAGTATTTCAGAGTGCAATTTGAAATTATTAATTGACATTTAGCCGCCTTACCCGGTGCTCAAATCTCTAATTATGGGAGATTTCTAGGACTATCTTTCCTAGTTTTCTTTCCGATTTTCTCTATTTAAATTGTATTCTACCCTCTTAAAGAAAATAATTAAGAGATAGTGAAATCATATTCTTCTCGTGTTTGTTTGATGTTCGACAGCAAGGGGAAACTCACCTATTTGAATGGTGGGGTGAAACCACCAGCCATTGACAATCTAAAGTATAAAAAGTGGCCATTTGAAGATTTGATGGTTACAACCTGGTTAATCAATACAATAGATACAACTATTGGTGAACCATTTAAAAGTTGTTTTGCATGTTCCTGACCATTTATACAAGAGAACGTGTATAAAAAAGAGAGGAAAAATCTCACCTTCACGTGATAATTCACATATGCATGGAACGTTGATAAGCTCCAAACTGTCTTGTCCAGTTTCTTTCCTTCTACATGGCGTGGGTAGATAACTGCATTTGTTAAACAGTAAATAAAAATGTTTACAAACAGAGCTGACAAATAAATAAACCTCTTAAAGCTTCCACCATACCAAATGAAACAAAACCAGCATTTGCATGTAATGCTTGTTCAGGAGCATCCTTGAGTTCATCAGGAGGGGAGGCAGACCACAGACACGTAGGGGCATTATTAAGTCCAGCAGTACGTCTTGCTTCCACAAACTCCTGCTTAAACGTATACTTGTTTAGTTGGTATGAACAACAATTTTACTATCATCCATACTTGACACCATATAGAAAGGAAAAAAGAATAATCAGTATTGGGTTTATATGTGTTCTTATTTATGTCAGTCTTAGTTTTTCTTCCTGCTTTGATGGTTGTGAGTACTCCGTTTTGATTCCGTGTTTGTTTTATGTCCCTGCTTCCTTTTTTTGTTCATTGTACCTGTTGCATGTTTGCACAGACTTCTATGTTACTATGGTAACATTCTAACTTCTCTTGCATGTCTCCTTGTAATTTTTATCCTTTTTGCAAGTTGGGGGTCTACATGGAAACAACTTTTCTACCATTTAGGGTAGAGGCAATATCTGCATACATCATAAACCCCAGACACTACCTCTGTGGGATATATTGGGTTCATTTGGTTTGATTTGGTTTGGTTAATATGTTATCATACAGTAAAGACAATCACAAATTTTGAAAAATGTTGCAAGTTGCATCAAGTGTTTAAAAATAAGCAAATTATAACCAGGCCTAGAGGCATAAACCTATGGACACACATCTGATATGAAACATATCAGCATCTGCATTTGCTTGTAGAGCACACATATTGAATCATATGCAAATTCAATGATTCAATATGTGTGCTCTACAAGCAAATGCAGATGAGCATTTGCTTGTAGAGCACACATATTGAATCATATGCAAATTCAATAGAAGGGCTAAAGAAGGGCCCTCAGTTGAAGGGGAAGAATAGGATACAGAAATGAGAAGATACAAAAGGCTATCCAAACCCAGTGTCCCACACGGAGGCAGGGTTTTTTTTTTTGTCAACTCCTTTTAAATATATTCCATTACATTGTTGGTACTACGGGTACGACATATGAATGTACTTACCCATGTGAAATGACTCACAATGCAGAACCAAAAAAAGAACCAATCCTTGTTGCAGTTTTTGCAAACTTCCAGAGAAGGGATGACCTAGTCGGATGTGTATGTCCTAAATAGCATTCTCACTACCATATGCTGTGGAAGGTAGAACATCCAACCGATATAGGCATGACATGGCCTGTCCCAATTATTAGAGAAGTCCCAATATCCAGAAAAACACAATGATCAAAGAAAAGCCCTTCTGTTTTTGGTAGTATTGAAATACTAGGACCTCCAAAAAAGTAGTGTCCATTGGCTAATTTGGCTAATTTTCTGCCAGTGCATCTCCTTTGATTTTGTCCCTGCATTTCACTCGATTTCTTAGATTTTTTAGTAGAGATTTTTCAATTTCTTCATATATCCTTAGGTGCAAGGGGTTTAATTTGTTAGCTCTACAGTCACATGATCATGGGAACTCATTATAGCATAAAAAACATCATGTCCTAGTTATTTTCGTATGGACTAGCTAACCCATCTTGTAAGAAATGTTATATTGCTATTACATTAGAGCTTTATTTACCAAATTGTAACCTTGTACTTCCTAGACCCAATTTTCCAGATATCTTGATATGGGTGTTTGTGAGGATGTAGCACTGCAATCGAAACTTAGAACATTGTGTAGACCTGATAAAATATTTCATTCATTGAAGTCCTCTATTTTATTTTTTTTGCATGATAATTTTGTTCTCAAAACATTATTATATAGAAAATAATTACTGAACAAAAGTGGCAAGGTGAACATAGGATCACATCACACATTAGCCCTAAACGTACAAGTTACGAATGTTCAACATATATACTCCAACTTGAGGAGCGGCAAAGATACAGTAGAGATACAGGGCAATAATCAACTTAGCTTATCTAATCATTTAAATAAAGGTATCTTCATCTCTTGTACTCTATATAAGGAGTGTCACATGTTGAATAAAATTTGCAATTTAAGAATATATACGTCTCTTTCAAAGGAGAAGGAATGTTATAAATGGTCACATAGTTGTAAGACTGTAAGGGACAAAGCGATGCAAGTTAGACGAAAACATGAAGAAAACGATATAAGAAGGTATAGGTAAAGCATACAAACTAGGAACAGAAGATAGAAAAAGAAAAATATATACGAGTTGTATGAACAAGGGAAAGAAAGTCAGGGGAGTTTGCATCAAGGATGAGAACCAAGAATGTTAATCAATTGTAGTTCACATGTTAGAAGTGGGGGATTAAAAGAGGAGGTTTATGATATTCTAGATTAATTATTCATTTAGAATATTCAGTAACTAGTTATTTATGCTTAGTCATCTCCTGATTTTAGTAATTATAAGAGATTCTTCTTATTATTGTAGTTCTAGAGATCTCTTTGTGCTTTCCTATTTCTCATAACTTAAAACGTATATTCAGGCCACTCTCTCCCATCCAAGAACCATGGAGCTTTTCTCCTCAACTCCTTTACGTCCACCAACATGGTATTATTCAACTTATTCCCCTCTAGATATCAACGACACATCAAAACACTTTGCTGCTATTACCTGTAGGAATGATGTTGCTAGAACAGTATCGACAGAATCATTAAATCTCATAGGAAACACCACAGTCGCCTTTTCTACCTGCCACGATAATTAATAAGTTGTTAGTAGTATTTCAAGCAAACCATTACATTTCAGTGACAACCAAAAAGATAAGCCATGAGGTCATGGTTGTTTGACAACATTACGATCAAAAAGGCTCGGACAATAATAATTTACATTTCAATACGGACGCAAAAGAAGTTGAATATCAGACCATAAGAATAGTAGCAGCAGTGCCAGTAGTAGTAGTAGTAAGAATAATATACAAAACAAAATGAGAATCAAAACCCTATGGGAATTCAATAAGAATTGCTCATATCAGAAGCTAACTACTGCCTACAGCTAATGAGTGTGCCTCTTACATTAGGTTACAGAAATTGCACTGTAAATCCTATGATACTTAATACACTTCAACTTGCCCATATGCACAATTACACCATCGAAGAACAAAAAACTTCGTTTAAAATAACCCAGAATGCGTGTCATCTTCAAGGACCAATAGGAAATTTACCTCCCATGTTTTTCTGTTTTTGGAAAATCAGCTAAGCTTTCACACATTCCCAGCTCACTTGTAAACCCCACAACTACATAAAGTGCACAAGTACCAATAGATTTGCACATCTTGGGCAATATACTTTAATGTTTCAAGCCAATAAGGTTCGACAAAGCAAGTTGTGTGACTCCCATGAATGGCACTTCCATCTATAGAATTTATCAAATATATGAATTCATCATAGAAAAATAAATGACTGTGGCACTCATATAAGCTTTATCAATTCTTTAAATGAAAATTGGTCACTGTACTTACCTTTAGCTTTCAACAATTAATCATTTTAGTTGCAGATTTTCCCAAAAACAGTGTACTTGGAGAACTTATATTGTCCCAATTTCTGCAATTATAATGGTTTTTAAGAAAGCTAAAGAAAAGCTTAGGGGCTACAAATGTTCAAGTTTTCTAACTATAATGTTTTTTGGATTTATGCAACTACAATGGTTTCTTTTGAAGGCTACCTGGATTTACAATAGGCTACAAACATTAAACACTCAACAAAATATACGAGGTTACCGCCAACAACATAGGTACCTCCATTAGGCATTGAAAGCCATATTAATCTAAAATGCATGTCACATAACTGAAAGGCATTACCTAACAATACAAGCGACGTATGTTCATTCAAGCATTACATTAAATCCTACATTACCTAAAATGTTATCCAGTTTTCTTTTCTAATCTTATTTAAGCACTACAAATCATTGAATTTGTCAATGGTTGGCTTTGACAATATTGCACATTTACCAATCTGGATTATTTAGGTTTGCTTGAAGAACTTCCTACAGAGCATGGCTTGAATCATTTGGTTTGGCATGCTTTGAAAATTGATACTTAATAATGGTGGTTAATCCACCGTGTGCCAGAAACATTCCCTTTAACTCTCATGGTTGGAAAATACCCCCAACTACAAACATAAAATATTAACTTGACCTCTTCATCAGATAAACTATCTAGATATGAAGTTCTATTATCATGTTATATCAAGCAATGAACTAGGTATTTAATCTATTGACAAATAATTCTGCACCTGAGGAACTAGGAAGAATGATTCATTTGGTCGGTGAACAAGGGGAACAAGCACGCCAGCATTGGAAGGCACGGACCTGGATGCAACGCGCTTCAAGATTACACGTAATGGGGCACCCATTACCACCTCCCTCACAGATGCAATCTTTACCACGAGAGCATGTCTAATCTCTGCACCATCAAGAAGTGATAATGTCATATTATCACTAGTACATCCAATCAAGAACATATTACTCATGTTCTCTGGACTATACAATGTAAGCATTACTATTCAATAACCAACACATGGTAGAATCATATAGAAAATGGAATTTGGAAATGCTAACACATACATATATAGTATCTTTGTTCACGGCCACATGCTCAAAATGCACAAGAATAAACAATTAAGGATGATGTACATGTTATAAAACTAATTGAAGATGTATCAAGTAGTCCTAAAGTAGCAGTAGGAGCATACTACACTCGAGAAGAAAGAGGCCACTGATATCCTCAAGAAGAAAGAAGCCATGGATAGCCTCGACAAGAATCAATAAGGGTATCATAAAAAGCAACCAGTGCATTAGAAGGTCAAGTTTAAATATGAAACAAGGACCTGCACAAGGACCATCAACAATTCCATGTATTCTAGCACACTGAAGAAATTGAACCAGAACAGTAATAATGCGTCCTTCCCAAGAACCCAACCCCGTTTATTTGTGTGTCAGAACAAGGCAACAAAAAGTATACTAGGTTGATTGTTTCACCTAGATGAAAGCAACTTCCAGAAAAAAGTAAGATTTGGATGAGTGGGAAATAGTTGGCTACCTGAAAAGCACCAAACCAAAAAAAATGCATATGACGGTGAACGTCCTTGCATCCCAAACAGAGGTAGTACTGCAAACTTGTCCTCACATCCTTGATGAGCAGTAGGGTTGGGACTTTGGACTGTTGGGAAACAACCCCTTTTAACTTGACACTATAATTTGTTTAAACGAATTATATATTTTGTTATTCTGGAATGCCTTTCTTCACCATGTGAATACGACTGCAGAATTCTGTAAATTGGATGAAGGATATCCCAAATCCAAAGTACAATAGTTGGTGATAATCCTAGAGCTTCACGGCAGTAGAGAGCTTCAAAGCACCTAGAAACTTGTTAAGCTCCGTGCTTTCTGCAAGACACGCCAATGACTCCCTGTACTCGGGAATGATCCAACTTAACTGAAATATCATAGACGCAAATGCAGAAATGGGGTGGTTCCAGAATAAGATGAAGTCAAATGAAGTAAATCCATGAATGGAATACTGGATCCTGGGGTTGGACATTAAGCACAATACTTATGTTTTGTTAACCCTAGAAGAGGATGTTAGTGGTTGGAACAGGGGCAAACAGTCAGATCTGATCTACAACTTAAACTTGAACTATGGCTTCGACTTCCACCTGAACTTTGCCTAGCCCAGGATTGAGAATCCCTCAATCTGCAGTCCTAGGTTTTGCAACTTTGTTCATGACACCACAGATTTGAGCACAGTAACATCGCTGGACAAACAAGGTGACAAGTGAAAAACCTGACAGTCAGATCAACAACAAGAATGAGCTCCTGCATCAATTTAACAAGCTTGCAGTCATGCAGGCAACACCAAGCTTGTATGCAGTAGCTGAAGATGGCAACACACAGCGACGTTTTAGATAGAAAGAATACTTTATTGATGAGTGGAGAACTGTGAATATATACTGGATTGAATGGGCCCACGGGAGGAAACGGGCAAACAAACGATAAACAATAATAATGATATTCACAAACACATAAACAATGGATTTGAAGGGTTGCGATGCATATGACATAAAAAACGAGCGTCTTTGTCCAGCCTACAAATCATAATAGAGGAATTGACTGAATGATTGAAACAAAAGAATTGAATTCATTTGTTTGGACAATCATTCCCTCAACAACGAAGATTATGCTTGTGCTTGAACACTATGTTACTTAGGTCATCATTATTGCAAAGATTAAAACATAAGTTGCGCACTTTCCCTCAATTTATGCTCTTCGTATAATTTAAACCCTACATATATTGCTATCAAAAATTTTTGTTAACATGTTTACTTGAGGATCCTACACAAATAATGGAGAAGCGTAACAAAAACAAATGGATGAAGGGGACCAGGTATATATATATGGAAAGAAAAGAAAGAAACTGATCTAAGCCATGTATAAAATAGAAATCCTAAAACACCTAAACATCATCAACAATCTAAACAATTGGTAGCAAAAAAAAATATCAATGCAAACATGATATGACCTCAGAAAAGGGAACCCACTAAACCTTCAAGTGGAGGAAGTTTAGCCAAGTTAAGTTTAACTGTGAGATTGAATCCATCTCTTGGAGGATCAAGAATATGAACAACCCCAGCATATGCTGCTTTTATAGCCTCAATGGCTCCAAGAGGAAGGCCGCTTGAGAAATCAGTCTCTGGAGGTGGAGTGGGGAGTGATACTGATAGATGTAGAAGATTTGGACTCTTTATTGATGCCTGCAAGAATAACACAATTCAGTTCAAAGACATCAATAACTCTCAAGAATGTCCAGGCACGAAAAAGAAACGTTTCAATAATCAGATAACAATTAAAACTTATCATCCATATTTCATTCAATTGTATTCCATACACTTAATTTTTATATCAACAAAGAGTAGCTTTGGTAAGCTAACCTGAATATGGTATCGGACGTCATCAAATTCTACCCAGTGGCAATCCAACTCAACTCCTTTCTCAATACTGTAGAACCAAAAAAAAAAAAAAAAGAATCTCTTAGGAGAATGTTATATCTATCTAAAGGATGAGCAGGTCACAGAATAAACACATTGTATATGATATTCAAGTATAAGCAACACCAAAACATTTAAATACTTATGAATGCATGAGTTGAAAAGATTTTATAATGTAGATGATGACGATGAATTTCTTGGTGAAGAATAATGAGAGACAGGGTATCAAGCGATAAATGTCATGATTGTAGTACCCTTACTAATTCCACCATGGCTGGAAAGGAAGATCTTGCTTCACAGAAACAATCCCCCAACTGATTGTAAACCAAACCCATCCAGCCAAGTATACCCCACCCTCAGGTAGGGAGTAAATTACACAAAAATGTAATTAAGAATGCAATAAACTGAAAATAGATACAGAAATGAGACGAATTGGATACAAGAATCAAAAAGTGATATAAGAATCAATGATGGAGTGAAAAAGAAAGATTTTGAGATGAAAATGGGTAGAAGTTACTTTTGAAGGCGATTTGTCAAGATCTGTAGGAGGTATCTTGAGTGAGACTGAAGCAAAATCATGGTGTGGGTTTGTGGGCTCGCTCACGTATCTCTCCACATCTTCCCTCGGATGTTTGGTTTATGTTTTCATTCTGACTTCTTCTTCTTCTTCTTCTTCACATGGAGATGGAGTACTTGAAGATTGAAACGGTAAACACAAAGGGGCGATCAAATCATGAATGGAGAGTAAACTCCACTTTTGGTCCTGTGGTTTGAAACAAAACTTAAGTGGTCCCTAAATTATAACAAGTCCATAAATAGTCATCCATATTTGCATTTTGTTTTAAAAAGGTCCCTACCATTAAAATATCTTCATTACATAACACATCTTTTTACCTTTTCTTTTTTTAATTTATATATATTGTTTTTATTATAAAAAAAATGATACAATCAGCAACCACTGCATTTGCTTCTTTTCCTTTCCCCCTACCTCAACGGCCATCGTTGTATTCCTCTTCCCCCGTCGACCTGAGAACTCCGAATGTAATGCTCTTCCTAGACCGTAAAAAGCGTTTACAAAAAAAATATATATAACTACAAGCAATCTTAAAAGGAATATAATGTCATAATTTCATACATTACATTCAACAATTTGCTATACTTGAAGACTTAAAACTAAAAGAATATCTAAGAAACCAATTCGTTTCATAAAATCGAACTACAACACATAAATAAGATAACCCATTTCATTCCCCTTGCTAGGTCATGTATGCATATCATCTTGAGATACACGATACATGTTAGTTATAAGGTTAAGTGAGTTCATGATTAGTTCTACAAACAATATAATAACCAAATTAACAAATAATCTTGAATAAAATTATGACTTTAACGTTATGTTGGTACCATTTTTAAGATAGGTTGTAATATGTATATTGTGCAACTTAGTGCATAATAATGCACTACTCATTTGAAACTTAACATGAACCCCAAATGATAGACAACTAGTCTTCTCAACGTGGTTGTACAAGACTAAAGCACCATCCTCAAACACAAGCACCTACTGAATTGGCAGTACCGTCACAGAGAATGGTAACATACTAACAATCACCATCTAACGTAAATATTGTCTGACTATGTAATGATTGGATAAAACTGAATTGATAGTTAATAAATTAACATCCACTGAATATCAGCTACTACTGACCACTGAAAACTAGTGCATAGCAATGCACCGGCTATACTGGAATTCTTAACAATGGTTACATACAACAAAACTAGTTGTGATACTTATAATATAATAATGAATCTATGTGCCATCGCAGACATGTGCAGGGTTGGATGCCGGTGAAGCTAATGGCATAAGGTGAATGATATAACATGATATAATCCACAATGTAGGCTAATAACTAACCTAAAGCATATAGTGTAAGTATTTGTAACTAAATGCATATATGTAAGTATATAAGAAAGCATATATATGCATTGTGTAACTACAAACACATATAATAACTGAAAGGTTACTAGTCATATATCATCCGCTTGAAGAAAGGAACTATGAAAACTCACATAGATTGCCAAGTAGTTGAGTCGTTTGAATTTTGTGAGTTTTCTATGAACGAAACACCCGAGCAATAAATTTAGTGGTTCCAAAAAGTTGCGCTAGAATGATGTTTAAACTAAATTTGACGTAATGTCTCGACGAGTTAACTTTCTAGAATGTATAGTTTACTCGTTAACTAGTATTACCATGAAGTTTGTTAAAAAGATTTGCTGCTTATTTTTAGAATATCTTAAAACATAAGTTTCAATTTAGGAAAAAGTTTCAAAAAACCTACTGAACTTGGTTCTTTTGATTTGAAGATCATTGGATTTGAAGCTTAGGCCATTGGAGATCGATTCACATTCGATTTTCAAACACTATTTAGTATCTTCGTCCCTATCCCTTGGTTATTTTGATTATTTTGTGTTTTGTTCGAATAGTCATTGAAAATCGTGCTTTGAGTTTCCTCCATCAGTCCTTCTATGTTCTTGTTAGTTTGTATCAAAGCTTTAATTTTTTTGCACTTGTATATCTCTTACTTCTTCATTTCTCTTTACTCTCTTAACTTGCTGCATTATTTAATTTCTGCACACTTTCAATTTTTCGTACATCTTAGACTTCTATACATTAGGTTAGATTAATTTATTTTCTGCATTTGTTCAATTTTATGCACATGTTCACTTAGTTACTCACTGTTAATATTTGATTTTTGTTAATGTTAGTCATTATCTAATGTAATTATCTTGCTAGTTTAGATTTACTCTATCTCTAATTTTGTTGGAGTCTAAATAAAATAAGTTGTTGCTTGGTTTCAGTTTAGAGTTTGTTTTATTGGATGATTGTCGCTTAGGATCGAGGTTTTGGTATTGATCAGTTGTTCTTAAAACGAATGTTGAAGTTTAATCCATTTTGATTCTAATGAAAGTTGGAGTTGATTTAATTGGGTTTCAACAAAGCGTTTAGTCAATTTGTTTAGTTTTTGATGAAACCGAAAGTCTAATCTTTTACTTGGGTTAGATTGATCAATGACAACGATTCTAACATGTAAATAGTTAGGGGCGTTGATTGAAAAAATATCGCGGACGTAAATATACGTCTTGGTCTAGAAAACTCTTTTCACCTCAAAAGAGCATTGAAGTAGTTTTGCATAACGAATTCTCATCATTACTAAAATCAGGAGTTGACATTACTCAATCTTCTTTAGTTGTAGTTGTCATTTATTTTGCTTAATTTTGCTATTAATTTCTTCTTGCCTTCCTTCGTCCCTTAATCTCGTTTAATTTATGTCCAATTAGTATAATAACCAATTTGTATAACTAGGCCATAATTATTAAGTGGTTACTATTGAGGTCGTCACCTCCCTGTGATCGACCTGCATGCAATATAACTCGTACGCTTACGGTATAAATTTAAAACACATCAAAACACGTAAATAAAGTGTCATTGTTGTTATTGAACTTTAATAAGTCATAAGAAGGTCTTATTAGGCTTTAGTGGATCTTAATTGAACGCAATACACACTACATATATATATATATATATATATACACACACATATAATAAATAAGTAACTTGGGTGACTGGTCGGTTAAATCCTATACCTTTAGACAAAAGAATTGGGACACAAAACAAGTATACAATATGGCTCAATATTGTCTTTCTAAGTAATAAAGTGGTATAAGTACCGGAATATCGTCCACAGGGATTGAAGCAAAAGTTAAATAAGAGTCCAGTGAAAGAAAAGATTTCAGATGACGAAATTGAAGACTTCAGTTTGATTCTGAGTTAACAAAGATAATATAACAGAATAATAAGACAGAATAATAAAGGTAGCACGGGTGTGGTGTAAGACTTGGGGTGAAACGTAAACACAAAATCCAGCAGACAACGCTGTAGAAGAACTAGTTCCACCATCTATCTTGAAGGTATTCCTCTCGGACTTCACCTTTGCACTATATTATAGCTTTGCACCCATATCTCTATGTGGTGTTCGGACCAGGGATAGTGACAAATTGGTGTCTTCAAGATATATGGCTAAACAAATGTCTTTGTTAAAAATCACTCTTTCGAGCCGATTCCCATATCATTCAAGTTGGCGTGTTCAAGATAGTTCATCTCTGAATCTATCACACTTTGACACTTTTAGAGAGTGACCAACCCGTCGGGAGTTAAGTTTGAAAAACATAAATGACAAG